TTTTTAATCATTATTTTAAGCTACTATTTTAAATGTTTGCCTACTGTTTTAAAACTTTTAAGTGGGAAAATAGAAAAGCACATATTTGTACTGCAGCATAATTATCTATGTAATTACTTTTACCAATGCTCTCTTGATTTTTGTGAATTTGAGTTACTGTATAGAAGCCTGGGCAATTGAGTTTTGACAAAGGTGCAGATGCTTTTTTTTGGAGAAAAGGTGTTCTTTTTAACAAATGACACTGTAACAAATGACCAGCCATCTGAAATATCTAAATCTAAAAGTCATCCCTTATACAAAATGTAACTCAAAAAGTGTCATTGATTTAAAGGTAAAATCCTAAATCATAGAATTATTAGAAGAAATCATAAAAGAAAATCTTTGTGACCTGGCATTAAGCTAGAGACCTTAAATGTGTTACCAAACCACAATCTTTAAAAGAAAATATTTATAAGTAGGATTTCATCAAAATGAAATTATTTTGCTCCAGGTTTGGCATTGCTCAGATAACTAAAATACAAGTGAACTGGTGAAAGAGTTTGATATCACATATCCAAAAATGAAAATTCATATAAAATACAAAGAAATCCCAAAACTCAGTTGAAAGGTGAGAAACAACTTAATCAACAAATGTAGGAAAACCTGCATGTATATTTTACAATAGAGATATATAGAAGTCAAATAATCATGAAAGACGCTTGCTGTCATTAACCATTATTAAAATGCAAACTAAAGTAAAAGGAGATTATGCTATTATGGTTTAATGACCAGAATTAAAATAAAATAAATCACAATATAATATAACACAAATATGGTGAATAAATATATAAACCTTGAATAGTGAGACCTTGCAATTCATGGGCCATGATGTTTCCAGTATCTGTTTTTTCGTCTCCCAACTCATCAATTTTTATACAAGTGTAAACGTATTCCTGCGTCCTGTAGTTAGACCTAATATTCTCATCCGTTAAATTGTGTGAAGGTGCATTTATGTCTGTTTGTTTGTAGGGACTGTCACAGAAACTTATTCTATTAAATCACACTCATAACCCTGAAAGGAGCCACAGTGACCCTGAGGACACCCTTGACTGGGAAAACAACACAGGAGCTACTTGGATTCTAGGTTTTGACAGTTGAGGGGAGATCATGACAGATACAGGGCATTCCAGCTGGTCACATGGCTGAACCACTAGATACATTTCCTAGCTTCTCTTCCAGCTTGGGGCGGGCTGGTGACTGAACTTGGCATGAGGGGTTATGCATGAAGTTTCCAGTTTGTGCTTCTAAAAAGGAATGAATGAGTGCTCCCCTCCTCCCTCTTCCCCTTTCTATAGCCCAGGAGATGCTGAATTCTGCCTGGTAAACATGGACATGAAGGTGGAAGTTTTCTATTAGAGATGACGTAACTGCCCCCAAAAGCTCTAAACTCTCCTTCAGACTTTTTACTGACAGAGAAAGAAACTTCTCTTTAAGATACTGTTCAATTGCATCTTTATTAGAACATCTTACTTAATCTTCAGTAATATGTAGTTATAAGTTTCTGGTTTCACAATGCTTATATTTCTTAATAATCACAAGTTAAGACAGGTAGGGAATTTAGAGGAATGGGGTGGCCAGAATATTTTTCATTGTACCAAACACCTTGAGTGGCAGGAAGAATGGTTTAGTTCCATTGGAAAGGGACAGGGCAAAGAAGTGACTCCCGAAGGTAAAGCGTGTTTTCTATTTAAACAGCACTGTTTGTGATGACAAGAGAACATGTCTTACAAGGTGAATGACCTCTGTTTCAAATAAAGGTAAAGTACATAACCACCAAAAAAGAAAAGAAGTTCTCATTATTTTCTGTCTTTTCACTCAATCAATACAGGTTGGTGGAATATTTAACCTTCATCCAAACAGGTAAGCATGAATTATTTTGTCCAATACAAAATTTAGTTTTACATGTATATTGTGCATTTATTTAGCAACAAGGAATACTCATTCACAGAACATTTAAAAAGGAATCCTTTGTTGTTACTATTGCCATTGTTTCATTGCAAGGGGTTGCCTGATGCCCACAGCCTTTTTACTCGTCTGACTCCCACCATAACATCAAAGTATAGAGCACTTTGTAATGTAAGGGAACAAGGTACCACAGACTGCTGACACCAGCATTATCATCACCACTGCCAACATTATCATCCTCTTAAGTGCTAATATTTACTAAGTTATTACTATGTGTTAAGCGTAAGTTTAAGTAGTTTGCATTATTCTAGGGACCATATCTCAGTAATTTATGTATAACTAAGGAGCAACATAGCGAGGGGTCTTCAATGAAATGGGTTTGCATCCCACTGATACCAAAGGGATTCCTTGTTTCTTAAGAGAAAGTCCCATGGCAAATGTATCCGAAAATTCTAGATATATTGGCAAGTGTCCATTTTTATCTTTAGAGACTTCTAAAGACTTCTGAATGCATTCACAGGTTTCTGATTATGACCTCCTGTCTTCGATTTGATTTTATAAACTTCCTTTGAACATGGCACTGTATACACTGGGAAAATAGATGGTGTAAGTGGTATCCCAAACTCCATATAAAGAAAATCACCGTTTCAGTGGGAAGACCAGAAAAAGAAACACACAAAATATTTGAATAAAAACAATAATGGCTGCACTTAGCTGAATTATATAATGGTTTTCTTTCTATGTGGTAGAAATAGAAGCACTTAAAGGTTTCCAGACATCAGAGAAAGCAGTAGCTAGGTGGCAAAATTTGAAGTTTTTTTTTTTTTTAATGAGATGTATAGAAGTACAGTTTGGATAGAATTTGAATAATTATAATATTTATTTACAAATGGTTTTATATTGATAATTCTACTTAATAGTAAAAAATATGTTGCTCCATTTGAAAAAAAAAAGTTACATCCAAAGAAAAAGGCTTCAGTTTCTTTTAAACATTATATTCATGATTGCAAATTCTGTTGTTCTCGCTTTTTATTCTTCTTAACTTTGTGACAGCTTGATTTCAGTTTTCTTTTCGAGTGTGCTACCCCACTTGCCCTTTAAGGAATAAACAGAACAGAGAGTGTATCAGAGAATGATGGAAGAGCTTAACAAAGGGCAGATACAATAAAGAGAAGAGAAAGGATGGCAGTTCTGAGGGCGATGGTTAGCTCATCAGATGTGGGTGCAGGATGCATGCTAGTCTGGAAAGATGTGATGATTCACTCAACAGACAATTTTAGTAATTGTCCAATTATTAGACTCTACATTGAATAAAATATGTGAATACAATGTATTTAAAAAGTGTGTAGGATGATATATTGAAAAAAGGCAGGGTTGTGTAGTCATATACACATGAAATGATATCTTAGTTATGTCACCTACCAGCTTCTATTTTTGGACCATCTTAGAGTCTCAGCTAAAGAATTTTTACATTCCCTATAGTTAAATTTTCATTGGGAGAATTGCATAATAATGAAAATGAGTACTTTAACATGTAGCCTAGAATACTGCCGATGGTAAAATAAGTTAATTTTTAACTTTCCTTTTCTCAGTCACCTAAAATCCTCTGAATGTCCAACTTTTGCATGGACAGCTTCTCCTGTCCCATTTGTGTCTACAATTTTGTAGCTGAAGTTTTGACCATTGGCCACACTTAACACCCTTAGGATATGGTTTTGATGTGTCTCTTCTTTACAGTGAGTTAGTCTCTACTAGCTTTCAAGTGAGTTAACATATAATAGGAAAGTTATCTGCAACATACTGAGATAATGAACTCATTTGCTACTTCTCCAAGAGTGAATGTAAAGAGCATAATTCCTACACACACACACACACACACAAACATGCCCCGAGAAGACATGCTTAATCTACACCAGGTTGTGGGGGAGGCCTGCATTTTGGTAGGAACACGTACCTACACCTCGGGGACTATTCCAGAGAAACAACCAATTTGATTAACTTTTTTTTTCAAGGAGTTAGAAAATTGCACTTTGTGGAACAAATACACTATGCATTTCATGGAAAGATATACAGAATATCAGAAGAAGCTTATAATCTAGTTATAGCAATAAGAAAAGGATATAAAAATCATGAGTATCATATCCCAACACACTCAAGAGAGTAAGCACACACACCCATGTATACAAGGGAAAGTCTGAATGGGTTGACTGGGTCATTAGACTTACAGCAATTAGTGAGAATATGGGTGATTTAACCTCTCAGAGATGACTTGGGTTGATGTCTCTTGCATATGATTAGTGAGTGACAGGGGCTCAGTCGAGTTAGAATTGCTTCCCTGATCATAAACGCTAGATGAGCCTGCCCCTAGCCTCGAACTTTTCTGGACTGGAAGTCCATCTTAGAGTTTCTTTTCTCTCCACTACAAAATTTGATAAATTATGTGTGCTGATTCCATAGATCTTACATTGTAATACAACATTTTAAACATTAAATAACATCCCATAATACATAGTAGTCAGCTCATCAATTTTGTTTTATAGTGAGATAGCCCAAGTATGCAGAAGGTGAAAGTTAAACAATACTTTGGGAATACAACAGAAAAACCATCCACCCCTAAAGCTATTTGAGGTGGCTTACAAAATACTTACTTGTGCAATGAAGTTAATTTTGAATTGGTAATAATAGAACACAGAATTGAGAGGCAAAGAGAAAAACATGGCAGCTGAAAGAATGGAATCATTGTTATAATTGAACATAAATTCAGATTTTGCATTTTTGAGTGTCCAGATGAGTAGCAAAATTACAATCATCTATCTTATCTTCAGAAGCAAAGAAATGTGATAATCCACAGCAGAAAAAAAATGACTATGAACATTGTTTTCATTTAGATACCTTTAATAGTAATAAAAAAATACATTTCACTATACTTTGAACACCTGGCAGTTATAAGTTTTGTTTTCATAGATAGTTGGAAGAATGGCAAGGCATCCTGCTTGTGCATCAGAAAACCAAAACCACAGAAGGTGAATGAACTTGTGCTTCTGATTGCATCATTCCCACAGATGAGCTCTGAAGGGATGAAAGCTGGGAACAATGTTTCCACAGTGATGCAGTTTGTACTCCTGGGATTTTCTGACCTTCCAAACCTCCAAGGCCTACTATTTGGACTGTTCTCCATCATTTACATTATTATCCTAATTGGAAATAGCCTTATAATAATAATAACCAGGCTTGACCCTGCACTACAGAAACCCATGTATTTTTTCCTGGCAAATCTTTCCTTCTTGGAAATCGGTTATGTGTCCGTCACTCTCCCTAGGATCCTGCTGAACCTCTGGACTCAGGATAGAAGCATTTCTGTGCTGGCCTGTGCGGCCCAAATGCGCTTCTTCCTGCTGCTGGCAGCCACAGAGTGTCTCCTCCTGACTGTGATGGCCTATGACCGCTACGTGGCCATCTGTCGCCCTCTGCACTATCCCCTAGTCATGAGCCTCGACGTCTGTGTCCGAATGGCTGTTGGCTCCTGGATCGGTGGAATCCCAGTGCAGATAGGACAGACATGCCAGATTTTCTCTCTGCGTTTCTGTAATTCTAACCAGATTAACCACTTTTTCTGTGACATCCCTCCCATTCTCAAGCTAGCGTGTGGAGACACTTCAGTACATGAGATTTCGGTCTATGCAGTAGCCATACTGTTTGTTGCAGCCCCTTTCGTATTGATACTCGCCTCTTACAGCAAAATCATTTCCACCATTCTGCAGTTGCCTGGAGTCCAAGGACGGGCCAAGGCTTTCTCCACGTGTTCTTCCCACCTGCTGGTTGTGCTTTTATTCTTTGGATCTGCCATTATCACCTATTTAAGGCCCCAAACCAATCACTCTGCAGGAATTGACAAACAGCTCTCTCTTTTCTACACCATAGTGACTCCAATATTTAGCCCCGTGATATACACCCTTAGGAACAAGGATGTGATTGCTGCACTGAGAAAATTATTACTTAAAAAATAATGCGATGACTTTCATGGTAAACGTTTTAACTGCTTGTAACAAGTTTATCAGAGAAACTTTTTCAAATCTCTACATTCTCCTTGAAGAAGTTACCCACATATTGCTTATGATGTACTTGTAGATGCTTTTAAATACCTACCTGCTAGTACTGTGATTGGATATGTCCTAGGCAAATTAATCTATCTTCAGTGCTTCGTGTCTAAAGAATAAAATAGTAGTATGCCTCATGAATGAAATAGTAGTATGCCTCGCATATTCCATATAAAAACTAAAAATAGAATCCAGGGTGTGAATACTTTCAGCTTAAATATACTGAAAAGTATACAAGACTCCATTAGCTCTTGAACAACAGGGGAATTAGAGGCCCTGACCCCGAAGCAGTTGAAAGTCTATGTATAAGTTTGATTCCCCAAAACTTAACCTCTAATAGTCTACTCTTGATGGGAAGCCTTACTCATGATAAACATAAGCAATTGACTCACACAGACTTGTGCATTATATGCATTAGAAACTGTATTCTTACAACAAAGTAAGCTAGAGAAAAGAAAATATTATTAAGAAAAACATAAGGAAGAAAAAATACATTTTCAGTACTAGACTGCATTTATCAATAACGTAAATTTACATCTTCTGTTTACAAGATGAATTGACAGTACTTACTTCAGTATTGTCTTATGTGATACAGAACACTGAAGATGTTATATGTATTAGTAACACTAGACATCAAAAATGAGAAGGTAATGTGAAAAAGAAGCTCATATTTATTTACAGGTATAATGATTCATGCATTGATAGAAGAGAAGCAGCAATATGATTACTCTATGGTAGAGTATCGACTAATGATAAAATCATTTAAAAAATTTTGTGGCATATAACATGGTAGTTATTCATAATATGGTATTGCACATAATTATTTCGTAATTGTTTTTGATATTTCTAAAGAACAGTTCATCTGGGAGTTTGCTCAAATTGTCACAAATCTCCAAAATTTTTCCAATATATTTATTGAAAAAAATTTACGTATTATCCATGCAGTTCAAACCAGAGTCGTTTAAGGGTTAAGTATATTTCCCTGAATAGTTTGCTAAATCTGCACACTTGTATTTATTAGGATCCTTTGATTCTATAGCATGGAGACTGGCCAATAGCAATCAAATAACAAAACCTCGTTGGGTGGCTGACTAAAATTAATGAGCAGTCAAATATTCCTATGTATGATGTCAGACTCCTAGCAAAACCCAGAGATTTTTGAGCTTCAAGAAACATTGGGAGCATATTTATTTAACTTAAGGTGAACCCATGTGGAACTATGATCATAATACCAAAAGTAAAGTTCTCATGCACTTAATTCTCTTCCTAATAGCTTCCTGCCAGAGCACATGATATAACAGGACACGCTTACCTGTCTCAGCCAGTTTACTTGGCACATATTTCTATGTTCCACTTAGCAACTGCGGCCCCAGAGTAGCTTGCTTTGAATTATTTCTTCTTTTCATAACTGCACTCCAAACAGCTGCTCCTATGCCAATTAATTATTTTTAAAAGAAAATGCCCATGATATTAACAGTGAAGAAAGGTGTTAGGGGCTGTTTTCAGGACCACCCAAAGTCCACACAGCTGCATTGCACTAGTGTGCCTGCTCTCTCATGCCTGGAAGCCTTCCTACTGTTTGGAATTATTAAACTTTTGAACTGATTTTATCAAGGAAAGTGAGCAGCATCAACAGAACCATTAATGCCTACCCTCCCGGTCCCAGATTCTCAAGTCTGCCACCCACAGTAAGAGATTATTTAGTGCATCCATCTCAGAGTACTTCTGCCAGCAGCTGAGTTATGCCATCTCTAGTTTTACTCAGAGTTAATACACATGCATGTAAGACAATGTTACCTCCTATTCTATAGATGGTTATATTTTACTTCATCAACTATTTATAACCTCAATCATCCGACATTACATACATTTATTCATTTATGTATTTAATTCATGGAAAAAATGCATATATACATGTTTATAAATATTTATTTAAATGTATGGAACATGCATATTTGTATATTGATAGACATAAATATATACAAATACTATTTTATGTTTTTTATTTTTAAAGTCATATTTCATATTCATAAATATAAAACATTTCTTTTTTATATAATACACATTTCATATCTTTTATTAATTATATATTTTATATAAATGTTACATTAGATATAAATGTTGCCTATATATTTATATCTCTATACAAATATTATTTATTTACTTAAATATGCATATTTTCCATGGATTAAATTAGACCATAAATAATTTATAAATAAAATAATAAATGCTTACATCTATCTATAAAGATATCCCTTCTCATTTAATACTTAAATATTATAAGAATTTTATACATGGTCAATGGTGAAGATCATGGTGAAATGACAGTGATGATAAAGATGATTTGGTGGAGATAAAAGTGGTGGTAGTTTTTGTTTCTGAAATTTAGTAAAGTAGGAATCACAGTGTCATGGGAATGGTGCTGTCCCCAGAGTTCACGTAATTGATCTTAATCTTCTCTTACTAGCATCTTGAGCAAGTCATTTAGCTGCTTTTTTTCACTATATTGTCTTAAAGAATAAAAATTCAGCTGCATAAATACTTAAGATCTTACTGGTTTGATTCAGCAAGTCATGAATTGGATAACATGCAAAGACAGTTGCACCAAAGAGCTGTACAAGCCAAGAGATTTCATAGACACAAGGGAGAGGAACAAGGAAGCTGTAATAGCCGAGAATTGGGCAGTTTATACCAGGCAAGAGCTGGATTGCAATTTCTTTATAGGGAATGGTAGGAGTTTATCAGGCAGATTGCCTGAGTAATGCTAGTCACATGATTCCTGACTGGCTTAAGATTCCATATCTGAGAAGGCCACACTGTAAGTAAATTAAGCTTGAGTTCGTTGAGGAGGCAATTAGTGCAAACAACTCTGTTTTAGACCTGTTGTCTTGTCTTTAACAGCTCACAATTAGTAAAATAGTGAGAACACACCTTTACTTTGAACTCACAAGATTATTGTAAGGCTCAGATATCCATCTAACAGGGAGAAGCATTTAGAAAAGCTTAAAGTGTCAAAAATTGAAATGTTGGCTGTATTTAGGTATAATACTTAACGGAATCACTAGCTCTGTTTTATTTTATACTCAGATTCATGGAGATAATCATTATAGTGCTATTTTTGAGGAAAGCTGTATCCATAATACCGATTACCTAGTGAAGAAAAACATATTTGTTTACACATTAGAATTATTTTCCTTTCACAGTGTATCATGTTTTGTTTTTCAAAACCATGCTATTCAAATCTTTCACCATCTAAACAGGGACTATAAGACAGAATTAATCTTCTTTAATATTCAAATAAATTATTAATTGACATTTATATTATTATGAACTCAGGACCAATTAACAAGTGTAGGATTATGACTTCCTTTATACTTTCACAAAATCCTTGAGACCTTTGCATTTTTTTCTTTTATTTCTCTGCACCTATCTTCCCAATCTATTGACTGACAGTAAGACATCCAGAGCAATCAATTTCTGGACATATAATTATTTATATGGTATTCATTACCAACTAATACAATGGATGCCAAGAAATTTACAACATAGTTTACAAAAATGGTCATCTGAGTTTAATAATTACTTAACGCATCCATGATTGCCATTAAGGGGTCCATTCATTTGTTGAAGTAAAGACCAATAATTACCCATAAGAATGCAGTAGTGATTATAATTTACAAAAGCTTATTCAATCAAAGAATTTTATGACATATGAGATATATGCTCCTTGGAAGATACATAAAACATTTTAACACAATGACTTTAAGCTGTAAAATAGTATGTGGTCTGCTTTCTGAATTGCATTCCTAACACCTTCTATGCATAGCTGTCTCAATGTATCACTCCCTTCCAAAGATGCAGTAAATTTTAATAACAAGAATTAAAGTTGTGGCAAATCTGTTCACATTTCTTTTTAGATTCCTTTCTCTCTGCTTCCCTGGAAGAGGTGGAAGACACACTTTGGATGTTCAAAGACTGGTTTGGTTTTCATGAATTTAACACAACTTTATCTGATGTATGAACTGCGGATCTGGACAGTTATGGATGCAAATGCATTTCATTAGCACTTCGCAAGAATTTAATACATTCCAGGTAACAAGGAGGACATAGAAAGTAAGGTCTTAGAATGACCCATTGATAATTCAAAGACAAGATGTGCATGGTTCTGTTATGTGTTCCTCATAATTACATTGTACACTAGAAATGTGATGATTTGAAAGCAGTTTCTTCACAAATCCTCCATTTTAAAAATATTTCACTTTGTCATCAACTTTGTTGCTACCTTGTATGATTTTGGCATTAAGCATTATTAAATTGCAGACTTTTCAGATATTCCCTATAAGTTGGCTTAAAAGAATTTGACCCCCTTCACCATCAGTTGAGATGTATCCCAAGGTACAGAAAACTATTTCAAGAGCTTATGATTAACAGTACCATTATCAGTACTGATTCATGGTTATGTTTCAATCTAGCTTTCCTTGAACATTCATACAGTCATATGTTCTTATAACCAATATTTCACCATTAAAATAAAGTCTGCTGAACATTTATAAACAGCCTCATAGGGAAGAATGAATCATTCTTGACCGACTTCAGTTTGTTGTATCTGAAATATAGGACCATTTTAACAGTACTGTGCAAATATCTTGGTAACATTTGTGACATCACAAACCACATGTATTTTGTTCCATTATCCACCGGTGTCTGCGCTTCCCTTCCTATGGGCTCTGATCACTTTGTGAGAATGTCCATGACAATAAGACACCCCCAGGGAGCAACAGAGACCTCGTTCTAACATCTCACTGAGATTATTTTTAAGTATGCAGGCTGCCCTTTAGAAAAGAGTTTCTTAAATGGAGTTGCCAGTAGACTGGTTATTAAATGAGGCTAAAACACACTCTTTAGACTGG